CTCAGAGTCCTCGTCCCGGGGAGGACGCAGGCAGCCTGGAGCCGGACACCTTGAGCCAGGACAAAACCTCTTCTTAGCGGGCCCGACCTGGAAATCCATTCTCCACCTCCTCAGGTCTTCAATGTCACCTCAAAACTGCCACCTCTCATCCCACGTGTCCTACTCCATTCCCTCCATGTCTATTTTTTCCTATTTGTTTTTTCACTTTCTCTCTCCTTCCACTGGAATCCAAGCTCCAGGAGAAGCAGGGGGTGCTACAGGGTGACAATCGGATGGGGAACAATTGCAGTCAGTTTGAAAACCCAGAGGGTGACCAGGGGGGCTTCTCAGAAGAGAAAGTCTCTACAGTGAAGTGAGCTGGGGGGACAGAGTCACAGCAGGGTAAAGTCTTTTAGAAAATGGGCGATAGAGTCTACGGCCATACCACCCTGAACGGGCCCGATCTCGTCAGAAAATGGGCGAGAGAGAGCAGCTCACTCAAGGGGGCTTGTGGGTGGCCCAGCCGTGGACCTGCCTCAGCACTTTAGCCAATGTCTGCCCCGTGTCTCCAGGTGCCAGGTCCTTGGGGGTGACAAAACTGACTGCCCTTCACCAGGGAGGCAATGAAGAAGTAAGGTGAGGGAATGTCTAATTCCTCACGGGGTAAGTACTAGGAAGAACAGAGAAGGATGCTCTTGACAAAGGTCACCTTTAAGGTGAGTGGCAGGAGAACAGAGCAGGGGCATGGCCTGATGGGCCAAGGGAAGATTCCTGACCAGCCCTCAGGTGGGAAATGCCAGGCAGGCACCAAAGGCTAGACACCAAAGACATGGAGGAGGGGGTTGGGAGCCAGATTTTGCTGGAGAACATGGAATTTGGTCTCTATCCCCAAGACAAGGAGCCAGTGAAGGGTTTTGCCAGTGAAGGATTTTAAGCCTAGAAGTGATAGGATGGGATTTGCATTTTGGGGAAGATTCCATTAACTCTTTTCTGAAGAAGCTGAAACTCCACCCAACAATGTCTTGGCTTCTTTTTATTGACAATAACCCTATCTCCTTCAGTATTAAACATATTTTCCCTGATTCCTGATTATTGAACAATCATGGCATGGGCAGGAAGCCCCAAATCTCAAAACCTCCCCTTAGCTCACTAGCTTCCACCCATATCCTTCAGATCCATTTTTCTTCATTGCATTTACCATAACTTGTAATTATATATTCTTATGAGTATTGATTTATTTATAATGTCTGGGTCACCAACCACTGTTAAGAATGGATTATAAACTTCCATCTGTTTCTAAAATACTTTGACATCTGAACAATCCTAATGGCTAGCACTTATTGAGCAATTACCACTATATGATAGGTGTTGTTCCAAGCAATTTAAGGAGTTTAATCCTTAAAACTCTTAATCCACACAACTACCTTGTGAATTTGTACTATTTTTATTTTCAATTTACAGATGAAAGAAACTGAGACCTTTAATGTATGGGAGCATACTCCACAGGACATCCTGAAACCTTTTATTCAATTGTGTTTTGTTTTTTTACGACAATATCTCACTCTGTCTCCACAGCTAGAGTGCTTTGGCCTCATCATAGTTCACTGCAACCTCAACCTCAAAATCCTGGGATCAAGCAATTCTCCTGCCTCCCTAGTGGCTTAGACTACAGGTATGCACCACATTGCCCAGCCAGTTTTTCTATTTTTTGTAGAAATGGGGTCTCACTATGTTGCCCAGGCTGGTCTTGAACTCCTGGGCTCAAGTGATCTTCTTGCCTCAGCCTCTCAAAATGCTGGGATTACAGGCGTGAGCACCATGCCTGGCCTCAATTACGTTTTAAGGTCACTTCTGGTTGGTATATATAGTTGGGCCTCTGTATCCACCGCTGGCTCCACATCGGTGGATTTAGCCAACCTCGATTGAAAATATTCAGGAAGGCAGGGCGGTGGCTCACACCTGTGATCCTAGCACTCTGGGAGGCCGAGGCAAGAGATCACCTGCCTTGGGAGTTTGAGACCAGCCTGAGTAAGAGCAAGACCCCATCTCTGCTAAAAGTAGAAAAAATTAACCAGGCATGCCTGGAGTCCAGCTACTCGGGAGGCTGCAGGAGGATCAACTGAGCCCAGGAGTTTGAGAATTTGAGGTTGCAGTGAGTTATGATGACGCTACTGCACTCTACCCAGGGCAACAGAGCAATACTCTGTCTCAAAAAAAATGAAAACAACAACAACAAAAACAGGGAAATATTCAGAAAGAGAAAGCAGATGGTTGCTTTTTCCTCCATCTTTCCCTGCCCACAATGGTACACATGCGTGTCCTGGCTGATGCCCTGAAAGCGTCAACAATGCGGAAAACAGAGCTACCCAGGTTCTTTTTTTCTTTCTTTTCTTTGAGACAGAGTCTCACTCTGTTTTCTGGGCTAGAGTGCCATGGCATCAGCCTAGATCACAGCAACCGCAAACTCCTGGGCTACAACCCTCTTGACTCAGCCTCCCAAGTAGCTGGGACTACAGGCATGCGCCACATGCCAGCTTTTTTTCTATATGTTTTTAGTTGACCAATTAATTTATTTCTATTTTTTTAGTAGAGACAGGGTCTCGCTCTTGCTCAGGCTGGTTTCCAACTCCTGACCTTGAACGATCCTCCTGCCTTGGCTTCCCAGAGTGCTAGGATTACAGGCATGAGCCACCACGCCACCTACCCAGGTTCTTATTAGACTGTGCTCTAAAGTCATTGTCTGGTTCCTAACTGTGATAATGAAGTGTGGTTACATTGACAAATTTGAAATCATTGCTGATCACAGAGCTGGGAAAATTGTTGTGAACCTCACAGACAAGTTAAGCAAGTGTGGAGTGATCAGCCTCAGATTTGATGTGTAACTCAGAGATCTAGAAAAATGGCAGAATAATCTGCTCCCATCCCATTAGTTTGGTTTTACTGTACTGACAGCCTTAGCTGCTATCAAGGACCACAAAGAAGCCAGATGAAAACACACAGGAGGGAAAATGATGTGATTCTTTTTCCAAGGATATAATACATACTTTTAAATGCCTCAGTGAAAAACAAAGTGATGATTGCATATGTACTGTCCATGTACAGATTTTTTTTCTTATTATTACCTAAACAATACAGTATACAACTGCATGTATTTCCACAGAGACATCTAAAAAAAAAGAGAAAGAAAACCAAAAATATAAAAAGGATAAAAAAAAAAAACAATACAGTACAACTGTTTATGTATCATTTATGTTGTATATTAGGTGTTATAAGTAATCTAGAGATGATTTAGAGTGTACAGGCCAGGCGTGGTGGCTCATGCCTGTAATCCTAGCAATCTGGGAGGCTGAGATGGGCGGATTGCTCGAGGTCAGGAGTTCAAACCAGCCTGAGCAAGAGCGAGACCCCGTCTCTACTATAAATAGAAATTAATTGGCCAACTAGTATATATAGAAAAAGTTAGCCGGCATGGTGGCGCATGCCTGTAGTCCCAGCTACTCGGGAGGCTGAGGCAGCAGGATTGCTTGAGCCCAGGAGAGTTTGAGGTTGCTGTGAGCTAAGCTGATACCATGGCACTCATTCTAGCCTGGGCAACAAAGCAAGACTCTGTCTCAAAATAATAATAATAATAATAATAATTTAAAAAAATAGAGTGTACAGGAGGCCAGACTTGGTGGCTCAAGCCTGTAACCACAGCACTTTGGGAGGCCAAGTTGGGAGGATCACTTGAGAATAGGAGTTCGAGACAAGCCTGGGCAACATAGGGATAACCCCATCTCTACAAAATAAAAAATAAATAAAATCGAGGCATGGTGGCAGGCACCTATACCCCTAGCCACTTGTGAGACTGAGGCAGGAGGATTGCTTGAGTCCAGGAGTTTGAGGCTGCAGTGAACTAATGATGAGGCCACCGCACTCCAACCTGGGTGACAGAGCAAGACCTCATCTCTAAAAAATAAAGAATAAAAAAAGTAATATAGTATATGGGTGATGTACATGGGTTATGTGCAAATATCACATCATTTTATTTATTTTTCTTGGAGACAGAGTCTCACTCTGTTGCCCAGGCTAGAGTGCCATGGCATAAGCCTAGCTCACAGCAACCTCAAACTCCTGGGCTCAAGCAATCCTACTGCCTCAGCCTCTGGAATAGTTGAGACTACAGGCACATGCCACTATGCCCAGCCAGTTTTTCTATTTTTAGTAGAGATGGGTCTCATTCTTGCACAGGCTGGCCTTGAACTCCTGAGCTAAAGCAATCCTCCCACCTCGGCCTCCCACAGTGCTAGGATTACAGGTGTCAGCCACCACCCCGGCCTATATCATTTTATATAAAAGACGAGCATCCATGAATTTTGGTATCTGAGGAGGGTCCTGGAATCCATCAGATACCAAAGTATAGGGGGTCCTGGCACCCCCACGATACCTAGAAACAGCTGCATAGAAGCAGTTCATCAATTTTCACCATGGAGGTAATGTTTTAAAGTAGGACCAGAATTTTTTTTTAGTCAACTTCCATTAAATCATCCCTCGTGTTTTAGTGGCTTGACATTTTAAAGTTCTATTCTATTATATATTAATCTTCCAACTTACTTTGCAAAAAGAAAAGTCCAACTTTCCGAGTTACAGAGGAAGGGGTGGAAGACCATTCATATACCTCAGGTAGCCTGGGATGGACTGGGGAGAGGAAGTGAGGGCAGCTGGGGTGGCCTTTCTCCAGCCTCAGAAAACTTTCTGTGTTGCAAATCTGACCTTCCCCTAGGGTTTAAAATTGTTACGAAGCTTAAATGACTATGTTACCTAGTTCTCCCTTTTTACAAAGGAGCCCTCATAAAGTAAGCAATGGGGGCTCAGGGCTTTCCCGCTCAGCCCCAGAGTAGCATAGCCAGGTTGCAACTTGAACAAAGCTTCTCTCTCCCCCCCACAGGAGGCCCTTCACGAATCAGCTTCAGGATAATGTATGACACCGGCCCAGCCCTCCAGCCTCTTCCCTCCCTGTCTCCCACCCATTCCCCCTCCAGCTCACCTTTGCCCTTCTTGGCATTTCAGGGACTCCTGAACCCCCACATCTTTGCACTCTGTGTCCCTGGCTTTGGCCCCAGGAGGCAGGGTAGGATCTGTTTTGACTCCTCATTCAGTCCCCAGCTCCTAGCCAGCCTCTGGCTAAAAGTGAGAGATTGAAGAAATGCTTGCTGAGTTAAGGGATGCTTGTATTGGGAGGATGGTTATGAAGTTATTACAGTGGTCAAGGAAGAAATCAAAGTAGGTCTGCGCTGGGTCAGGGATGGTGGTGGTGAGTAGTGGAGAGACATGAGTTCGGACAGGGGAGGATGTACTCAGGTAGAATTTAGACGTTTGTTTTTATTTTAGTTTTTGTTTTCTTTTCTTTCTTTTTTTCTTCATAGAACGTGTTCTGTAATATTTATTTTAGTTTTATTTAAAAAAAATTTTAGAACCCCATTTTTGTGGGGTTTTTTAGTGTATTTCTTTATCTAGATGTTTGTATTGGGGAAAAAATACATTATAGCCAGTCCACACCGTGTTTGTCCCAAAGGGGTCAGCACGGCAGATTATTTGGAACCACTGAAGGCTTTTGTTTGTTTTTGTTTGTTTGTTTGTTTTTGAGACAGAGTCTCACTTTGTTGCCGGGGCTAGCGTGCTTTGGCGTCAGCCTAGCTCACAGCAACCTCAAACTCCTGGGCTCAAGCAGTCCTCCTGCCTCAGCCTCTGGAATAGCTGGGACTACAAGCATGCGCCACCATGCCTGGCTAATTTTTTCTATATATTTTTAGTTGTCCAATTAATTTATTTCTATTTATAGTAGAGACGGGTCTCGCTCTTGCTCAGGCTGGTTTCGAACACCTGACCTTGAGCAATCTGCCCACCTCCGCCTCCCATGACCTTGAGCAATCCCGCCACCTCGGCCTCCCAGAGTGCTAGGATTACAGGGTGAGCCACCACACCGGGCCCTGAAGGCTTTTGAGTAGAATAACAAGTGCTCCCTGATGGCCATTGTTTGGCTTGTTTTGCATTTTGGCTGTTGTCTCAGCCTGAAGGTAACAGGGTTTTGGGAGGGGTGAGACCGGAGGACTCCTCACCCATGGGCCTGCCAAGCTTGTCCGATGTCATTTCCCTCCCTGGAACCCTAGCAGATGCGGCTACTTTGGTGATGTCCAAACCTCTCATGCCCATGCACGTGCAGGTGGCAAAGTTGCTGTTGCCATGGTAACAAGGCTACAGGTTCCCTCAGATTTTTTTTTTTTTTTTGGGACAGAGTCTCACTTTGTTGCCCAGGCTAGAATGAGTGCCGTGGCGTCAGCCTAGCTCACAGCAACCTCAACTCCTGGGCTCAAGGGATCCTCCTGCCTCAGCCTCCCGAATAGCTGGGACTACAGGCATGCGCCACCATGCCCGGCTAATTTTTTCTGTGTATTAGTTGGCCAATTAATTTCTTTTTTATTTATAGTAGAGACGAGGTCTCGCTCTTGCTCAGGCTGGTTTTGAACTCCTGACCTTGAGCAATCTGCCCGCCTCAGCCTCCCAGAGTGCTAGGATTATAGGCGTGAGCCATCTCGCCCAGCCCCTCAGACTGTTTTCTTTTTTTTTTTTTTTTTTTTTTTTCTTTTTAGTCAACTTTTTAGTCAAGGCGCAGTGTGGGACTTTACCTCAGACTGTTTTCTAAACCACACTGGAAGGGAATGTTTATCATCAGGTGGCTCGTGGCCCCTGCAAGACAGTGAGCTGAGAAAAGGCCCACCTGTGTATACTAAATTCAAACCATAGTGGAGTGAAAGAACCTCCACTTAGTTCAAACCCCGGCTCTGACACGCTTTCTGTCTTCACAAGTTACTGAACTTCTCCGTGCCTCATTTTCCTTAACTATAAAATGGGAATGTGAGGAAGAAATGAGATTATACATGGAAAGCCTTTAGCGCATACCTGGCATGTGGTAAACGTTGGCAAATATTGGAATTCCTCAGCCTTCCCCCTGTCCTCTGCAGAAAAGTTTGACAGGTGTCCCCATACAGCAAAGCCTCAGTGAGATGCAGGACAGTTTCCTGGGACAGTTCAGAGAGCCGGCCTCAGAGAAGGGAGAGGAAGTTGGAACTGCTTACACAGGCTCCCTCTGGCAAGGCCAGGGGCTTCCTGGACTTCCCATGGCCGGGAGTTACCTGCCCTTGGTCTCTCTGGCAATGCTGAGTGGGCAGCGACTCAATTATGATTATTTGGTTGAGGTGTACCTTGGAAACTCACCGGAGCCCTCAGGGACGAGCTGGTCCAAATCTGTAACCCATCCGTTCATTCATCCTTTCGTCCATTCATTTACTCTGCGTACGCTGTGCTGAACGTTAGGGAGCCCGAGCACTATAAGACAGGGAATCAGGGAGCTCACAGTCCTTGCCAGAAGAGCCAACAGGCAACTACGATCTGGCAGGGTCCAAGCCACACAGCGCTGCCTGGGGAGACGTAGGGGGTGGCACCCCAGCACCCCAGGTGATGGCACAGCTGTGGTAAGGCAATGACATGAGAACCATTAGGTTTTGCTGCATCGTAAAGCCTGTGCGGTGCGGCAGACGGAGAAAAGGCTAAATATGTGGCCCTGGGCCTTGCAAGCCTCCTGAAGGGGGTCCTCTGCAGAGGGCAAAGGGCATGACTCCCCTACCTTGAGGACAATGCCTCCAGGGATTTTGAGGATGAAATTACTTTTTTTAGTAAGATTCAGGGTACAGATGGATTAAAAGGGGAGTGCTGGCAATCGGCAAGGCTCTGTGTGGTGATCTGGGGACAAATGGTGAGACCTGGAGGTATCTGAGGGACATTTAGGGGTCGAATCCATTGGAACTGGACAGTGGCTGACGTGATGGTCCTCCAAGCTTCCAGAACGACAGCCCAAGCCCCTCAGCTGACTCTGGCGCGTGTGGGAAGCACTGGATGCCACCACCAGGGCTGTGAGCGCCAAGCAGGGCAGGGTGGAAAGCCCGTTGCCTGCGCCACCCAACACCAGGGGCAGCCTGGGCTTGGCTTAGCTTCCTGGGTGACCTGTCTCTGCCCTCTCTTCCCGCACTCCCCTCTCTCTCTAGGAAGGCATGAAGTTAGCACCTGGCATGGTCCCCACACAGCACAGACTCTACTCAGTAAGTGGTAACGGAGATTATGAATTGGTTATGGCTCTGGGGGCTCTGAGGGACAGACAGAAGACAACTTCATCCGTTCACTCACTGTTCACTTGCTGAACACCCCCTTCCCTCCCCACACACCCTGGCCTGGACCCACCAAGCCTTACACAGTGTTGGAGCTGACTGAGGGAAGATGAGGGCATCGGATACTGAGCACTGCAGGACTTAGGAAAGTTGGGGAGAAAAGGGTTCCCTTTCCAGTCCCCTCATAATTCAGAGGTGTCAAGGATCTTCTGAAGGGTCGGGGTCTGGCTTCTTGCAGAAGCAGACTCATACTCGCAATGAGTATTTTACCATTATCTGGGAGGAGCACCATTAGCAACCAAGCCATTGGGCCTTTTTAAAAACATGGTAAGGGGCTGGGTGCAGTGGTTCAGGCCTGTAATCCTAGCAGTCTAGGAGGCTGAGGCAGGAGGATCGCTCAAGGTCAGGAGTTCAAAATCCAGCCTGAGCAAGAGTGAGACCCCATCTCTACTAAAAATAAAAAGAAATTAACTGGACAACTAAAAATATATAGAAAAGAATTAGCCGGGCATGTTGGCACATGCCTCTAGTCCCAGCTACTTGGGAGGCTGAGACAGGAGGATCGCTTTAGCCCAGGAGTTTGAGGTTACTGTGAGCTGGGCTGACCCCATGGCACTCTAGCCGAGGCAACAGAGTGAAACTCTGTCTCAGAAAAAAAAAAAAAACATGTAAGGGAGCACATACTTCACGTGGAGGGCAGCATCCTGACACACAGAGCAGGACAAGGCCCTGGGCAGGCTGGCTTCTGGCATCTTCCAGGGCCCACTTCTATGGTGACATCTGACCCCAGAGAAAGAGTTGGCTCATTTATTGGCTTCACCAGGCCGAGCCTGTTGCCTTCATCTCTGCATCCTCCGCCCAGCACGGGCCTCGTGCCAGAAGCCTCAGAATATTTGATGGAAGGAGTGAAACTGGAGTGACTAGGTTTGTCCCGTATCAAGGTGTACTATGCACATGTGCTAGGTTTGTGTGTGCACTTCCCACAGGAACAAGGAGGCCCAGGGTCCTCTTTTGCTGAGCCCCAGGGAGGCCAGGCACACATGTGTTACTTAAAACTGCCATTCATGATATTCAAACTATTTCATACCAAGGTAAAAAAAGAAAATAAAAATTAATATAAAAATATAAAAGATAAGAATAAAATATAAAACTGCCGTTCTGCCAGCCACGGTGGCTCACGCCTGTAATCCTAGCACTCTGGGAGGCCAAGGCGGGTGGATCGCTCAAGGTCAGGAGTCTGAAACCAGCCTGAGCAAGAGCGAGACGCCGTCTCTACTAAAAATCGAAATTGGCCAACTAAAAATACATAGAAAAAATTATCAGGGCATGGTGGCACATGCCTGTAGTCCCAGCTACTCGGGAGGCTGAGGCAGGAGGATCGCTCCAGCCCAGGAGTTTGAGGTTGCTGTGAGCCAGGCTGACGCGACGGCACTGTATCCCGGGCAACAGAGTGACACTCTGACTCAAATAAATAAATAAGTAAAAAACAAAACTGCCGTTCCCATTACACGGACAGGGAAACCGAGGCTGAGAGAGACTAGCTGAGGTCACACAGATGCTGTGTGGAAGCGCTGCCTGTCCCTCAAGCGGTATCGTGTATACTGTCCCTGTGCCTTCGACACCTCGTCCCCGCAGTACAGTGGGCGAGGTGTGGGGGGAGCCTCGTCGGTCTGCGGCTGGAAGCAATGCAAGACTCAACCACCGCGCCCGACCTCCCGCTTTGTGAGTTTCCCTGCAGCAGCCACCCGGCTACCCGCCTCTGCCTGCGCCCAGAACCCAGCTCCGAAATGACGGCGGCGGGGCCGCGGGCTCCCCGTCCCCCAACACACTTCTGCCCCCTTTGCTTTCCACCCGGGCCCCGACGGTCACACCTGTCTGCTGGTGGTGACCTGGCCCGAGTCGCGACACGGCGCCATTTCTGGGGCGGCGCGTCAGGGGGACGCTCCCGCAGGCCGGGTTGGTGAAACGAAAATGTCTCTTCCCGGGACTCCGAGGCCGTCTGCCCCGCCCTGTGCCGGGCGGGAGGGGCAGGCATCCCGGGGACGTGCGCGGCGGCGGGGAGGGACGCCCGAACTTGACAAGGGAACTCGCACGGGAAAGCAAAACGCGAGGGGTTCTCGTTCACCCCGGCCCGGGAGACACAAAGGCGGGCGCGGGCGGCGAGGCGCAGGTCTCCGGGACAGGCGACGCCGCGGCTCCCGCGCCCGGGCAGCTTCCGCCGGGGGAGGAAAGCAGGGGCAGCCCGGGCCCGCCCCGCCCGGCCACACCCAGACACTGCACCTGGGCCGGCGCCCGCGTCCCCGCCGCGCGGGTCCCGGAGGCCGAGTGGGTGCGACCGCCGGGCGGGACCCGCCCTCCCCTCCCGTCCCTCGGGCTCTTCCCTTTCTAACCTTTCTTCTGGCCTAAACTCCCGATGCCCCCGCCCAAGGGCCCACCCAAATCCGAGAGCTCACGCCCGCATCCGCCCCAACCCTCCCTGATCCCCGGCGCTCGGCCGCCCGCAGCCAGATCGGCCCGGGCGGCGGTCACGTGCCCGCGGTGGGGGCGGGGAGGGCGCGGCGGAGTCCCCGGCCGCACGTGCGGGCCCGGGAGGCGGGGCTGTGGCCGCCGGCGCCGCTTCCCTCCCGGCTTCCGCGGAGCAGTCCTGGGCGCCGGCCGCGGGCGCGCGCGGGGCGCCCGCGGGGCGGGGCGCGGGGGCGCAGTGGTGAGCACCGCCCGAGGAGCGCTCGGCCCGGCCCTGGCGGAGCTCCGGGGTTACAGGTCTCGGGGCCGCCCCAGTGGTTGTTAATGACAGCAGGCCCTCACTAGAGTGTCACTGTTGGCGGGTCGCAGAAACTAGGTCTGACCTTACGCGCCTGGTAGGAGTTCCCGTCCATAAAGTCAGTTACTGGAGTGCGTGATCTCGGGTTTTCTGGTGTTTTGTTATGGAGAATCCTGAGCATAAACGAAAGTCGTGACGGTAAACGGAGCCCCCAGGTACACAGCAGCCAGATGGAAGGATAAATTCCGGCAATCTGCGTTTGTCTCCCCGGCCCCTGCCCTCAGCCACTCCCTATTATGATTGTGAAACTAATCCTGACATCACTTTTCAGATTAGGCCCCCTGAAACAATCGCTGGGTTTTGATGTGAGGCCCATTGTTTGTTTAGAAAACTCTTTTTAAATGCTGAGTAGATAAAACTGTGGCATGGAGATAAAATGTTGAGAAGAGATAAAGATGTCCAAGGAGTGGAAGTGGAGATATCAAGGACATAAACAAGGGTGAAAGGAGTGGAAAGACTTAGGTGAAGTCTGGAAGCGTGGGCATGCTTTCTGGGACATTCAGGTGACCCAGGTGAGAGCTGGTACTGGGTGGGGGCGGTGGAGCTGGTGAGAAGAGGCTGATTCAAGGCACAGAAGTTCGGCCATGTTACGTCTGAGCTGCCTTTTAGATATCCAAGTAGAAATGTTACAAAAAGTAGGTGACTAAGTAAAATTCTTGGAGACGAGAGCAGGGCTGGAGATAGAAATCCGGGAGTCAAGAGCACGTCGTGTGTTCAGAATAGTGGGACTGGAGGTGGTAGAGATAATGGCCAATGAAGTTGGAGGGAAACCAGGCAACTTTGGTCTCCCAGAAGCCAAGGGAAAAACGTGCTCCAAGAAAGACTGAGGGACCAACAGTGCCAAAAGCCAGAGAGAGGTTAAGGAAGAGGCAGGCAGGAGACTAAAGATTGGATTGAGTAATGTGGACACACTTGGTAACCTTGGCAAAAGCGATTTCAGACCTGTGACAGCTGAAAGCCAAGCCAGAGTGTGGAGAGAACAGGGGTGAGGGACTGATAGATCAATCTTTGAAGAAATTTTGATGTGAAGAGAAACTAAAGAAAGGAGGCCGAAGGGGGCATGAGGTCAAAGCATATTTAAGATAACAACAAAAAGAACGCACCTTTTAATACAGAAAGTTTAAAGCTTACACAAGACAGAATAATATAATGTACCCATTCCCATAATCCAGCTTCTGTGATTATTGATGTATAGTAAATCTTGTTTCCTCTTTTTGTCTGCCTGGTTATTTTAAAGCAAATCTCAGAATTCATTTGCTTCTAATCTTAAATAGATTTAAGAATGGATCTTTAAGAGATTAGTTTTCAATCTTTAATAGTGGAGGAGTTTGTAAACATATCCACAGTACAGTTATCACACCTAAAAATAATTAGCAGTGATTCCTGAACATCATCTAGTCCCCAGTCACCAGTGTTCACGTTTTCCTGACTGTTCCATAAATGATTTTGTTTTATAATTGGGTTGTTACAATCAGCATCCAAACAGGCACATATATTATTACATTTGGCTGATATGTCTCTTAAACCCCTTTAATCCATAACATTTCCTCTTCCGACTTAAAGAAAATTTTTTTTTTATTTTTTTAAATTTTTTTTTAATTTGTTTTTTTCTTTTTTTTTTTTTCTTTTTTTCATGTAACAAAGACATTTGTAGTAAAGAAATTTTTTTTTCAGAAAGCATTTCATTTGTCCTTTAGAATTTTCCACATGATGGATTTTGCTGGTGGCTTCCTTATGAAGGTGCAATGACTGTCCTATTGCATCACGAGTCTGGTTGTCTCCACGACTGATTAGTGGATTCAGGAGTTGGCCGCCTGGCCCTTCCCATCACCCTTTCGCCTGTCACCCCATCAGCATTACAACCCCAGTCAGGAGTGCTCTTGAAAGACAAGAGTGAAGAGAAGTGCTCCCAAGCAGCAGAACTTGGAGCAGAATATTTAACTGTCTACGAGGTCTAGACTGAGAGATGGCTTCAAACTGGACTTATGGGTAGTGGCAAACAGACTTGAGAGAACAGATCTGGAAGATGGGACGGTAACAGGAAATCTCAGGAAGAGGTCTGCGGATGAACCTCAGAATGGACACAGTATGAACTTAACTATGTCCCATATGACTGTTCTCCAAAGGACATTTACTGCAGAGGAAGCTCTCAATAGTCAAGTAGACAAAGTGACACATTCTGTGGATGTCAGCCACCCTCGTGCCTGCCTGTGCAGTGGATCCGTGTGGCAGGGATATGGGTTATACAGGGACCAAACAAGAACATTAACACTGGCCTGGCTACTGCCACTCCTAAGTGTTTAACCTTCCAACAGCAGCAGAGACCAAGGCTGACTGCTCCTCTCCCCCCAATATGCCACCATACTCCAGGGGAACCAGCCAGCTAGCTGCCTATTGGTAGGTTGATTACATTGGACCCCTTCTATCATGGAGTGGGCCGGCAGCAATTTGCCCTCGCTAGGATAAATGTGCACTCTGGATGGGATCTGCCTTCCCTGTCTGTTGCTTCTGCTAGTGCCACCATCCAAGGATTTTCAGAGTGTTTTATGCACGTTCATGGCAATCCACGCAACAGTACTTCTGATCAAAGAAATAATTTCGTAACCAAAGAATGGCAGCAGTGAGCATGTGTGCATGTAAGTCACTAATATTACCACGTATCCCATCACTCAGAAGCAGCTGGCCTGAAAGAATGGTGGAAGGCGGTAGCCTGTTGAAGACTCTGTTCTGGTGCCAGTTGAGAAAAACACCCTGAAAAGAACGGGATCTGTCTTACACAATGTGGTACACGTTGTGAACCAGTAGTCAATATACAGTGCTGTTTGAAGGTCTGGAAATAGGAGTAGCTAGCTACTCTTACACTTATTTTTAACTCCTGCTCCCACAACTCTGAGCTCTGCTGAGAGGTCTTAGTTCCCAAGGGAGAAGTCTTTGCTAATATTAAGGGACGCAACTATGGTTCCATTGAATTGGACGCTGAATATTTTGCACTTCCCAGTCGGTGAGGAAAGAGATTACTGGCTGGAATGATTCACCCGATTGCCAAATTGAATTGTTGCTATACAACAGGGGCAGCAAAACTATGTCCAGAACCAAAGGATTCTATGTGCCACCTCTTAGTACTTCCATGTCTGCTCATAAAAGTTAATGTGAAAAAAAAAGTAAATGGGAAATTAAAGCAACCCCAACAAAGCAGGACCACTGAGAATTCAGACGCTTTAGAAAAAAAATTTTCAGTCACTCTACCAGGTAAAGAATCCTAACCTGCTGAAATCCTGGCAAAGGGCAAAAGAAGTGAAAGAGTAGGTAGTGGAAGGAGGAATTTATAAATATTAACCACAGTCTGTGAGCATTTATAGAGCTGATACAGAGGATTATAGCAGCTGTGCACTGCCACTGTGCCTTAATTCTAACATTCTATCAGAACAGCAGCTTCAAAGTGATGTGCTATATGGTGGGATCAGTGTCAAGTTGCTCAAGGTGCTTTAGGACTGTGTTGTGATAGAAAGCAGGACAGTTAGCCCTGGGGTGAGCTGTGAAGGTGGCCTGCTGTCCATCACAGGTGAATGCTGTCTGCTTTGAGCCACCTTCGTGGTAGCTGTTGAAAAAGCTGCTGCATTTGCCAGATCAGTAGCTGCACACCGGTAGCCAGAGGCTGTGTTGCTCTGTAATGGTCAAGATACCACTTCCTCGAGGGGACCTGGCCTCCCCATCGTTGGATGGGTTTTGGGTGTAAGAACCAGCTCATGTCTGCCAAGTAAGCAAGAGATTGAGATTTTCCAGTTTAATGGCTGACATTAGCCATCTGCCAAGGCTGTCACCACAGATCTGTGTGTTAAAGGCCACTTCATTTTCATTCCAGTTTTGTTCCCCATTACAGTGATTGTGTCTACCTTGTCTCTGATGATTAAGTGCTATCACCTGGCCTCTGCTATTTCAGAATCCTGTCATCCCTATTGGCACGAGGGAGCCCAGGTCCATCGCTGCATCTTTTATGTAAACCCTGAGCCACAGAGGATGGCTACCACTGAGTTTCTTAACACTGGGACTTTCTGTATTGCTTTAGTGAAGACAATGTCTTCTAGAGGTTGTGGTCAGCTGGCAGGCTCTCTGGTTCTACATAATAAGTCAAATCTCACCTGGCTCCCTTAACTTTTTGATGCCTTCCTTCACATTCTCCCAAGGCAAGCCCGGCATCTCTGCCTAATTTACCCTAGGATATTATTGTTTCCAAGCTTTAAGGGGCTATTCCAGAGGATATTAGAACTGACTCCAGGAGTCCTTGCCAGGATGTTAAATCCTGGACCGTGAGAGGGTTCCCCATATCAATAAACTCTCCCTATCCCAGACTTACAACTAACACTTCCTGGTCCATTACTCTCAAGATTCATTCCCACGTACGTTCTGCTTGTTCCTGCCAGAATATATCAGCCAAGTTCTGAAGCTCTTTTGCTAAGACCTCCCCCTAGTTTTTGTTCTAGATGTCTTGAAGGCAGGAAAGAGCATATCTCCAGGAGGGCACGTGTCATTGTGCAAGATATCTGCCTTCCATGGGGACTTTACATGGTCTCCAGGTAATGCCGGGCTCCCTGGTAGAGAAGAAGGGGCCAGTCTGTTGTCCCAGGTAGTTAAGGTGAATCTGGGTATTTAAGGTTCTCAGTTGCATCTACTCAAATGTTTCATCCGAGACTCGAAAAAGTTTCTCCTTCCCTCTCTGGTTTCTAACAGAGGAGACTTGCTGAAGTTGTGAATTAAGCTTCCTTTCTAACTCTTCTACTCTTTTTTTCCCCAGCATATTATGGGGGCACGAATGTTAAGGTTATGTATATTGCTCATGCCCCCCATAACTCTTCTACTCTTAAAATGAAATTTTAAGTCTGATTTTCAGTACTCTCTGTCCTCTGGCTACAGGAGATGAGAGTCTTTAAATGCCTTCATGGAGGCTTCCTGGCTTTCACAGCATGCTTGGAGTTGATAGTTGGCTTAGTTGGCTGGTTAACTTGAGCCCATTATTTATGTATTTTAGAGACATAGTCTTGTTCTATTGTCCACGCTGGAGCACAATGGCACCATCACAGCTCACTGCAGCCTAGAACTCCTGGCTTCAAGCAATCCTCCTGCTTCAGCCTCCCAAAGTGCTGGGATTACAGGCGTGAGCCATGACACCTACCTCCTCTGGGCTCAATCCTTACGGTAACTGTTACCCTCATATGTGATAGGGTTGTTGCCTGAGCTGGTGCATCGTCTTCCTCCTGTAGCCCATCCTAATCTACCATAGGTGAGTGGCTTAGCAGTTGTGCTGATGTGGCATGCAGGGGTTGTCCCCACCACACTGAGCATCATTAATGGGATCCTTCTTGCCATCGGGCTGGCAAATGATCCAATACCAAGACCCCATCCTGACAGCTTGCTTCCTGGAACCTCTTCTGGTAACATCTTGTTTTAGTTTCCATCAAATGCAGATCCTTAGACAAAGATTTAAGAGTAGGTAGTTTATTTTAAAAAATTATCCCAAGAAGCACCAGTAGAGCAGTGGGAAAGTGAGACAGGAAAGGTAAGGAAGGAAGCCTGTGTTCCAGCCTCATGGGGCCACTCCTCTGGGCTTCCAGGCTCTGTAACCCTAGCCTGTTCCCTGTGCTTCCCAGCCCCGGGGGCGGGAGCTGCTTCCTACATCTCAGCAGGGCCTGGCATGTGGCATTCCTGTTAATGCTGGTTTCCTTTCCCTTCTCTCTCTGTTCCATCTTCAACTTTATTCAGCAAACAATCTGCTGACCAGAGCCCTCAGTCCCTGTGCTAGAGTGGCCGATGCAGGGATGTGTGTCTATCCTGCATCTCAACAGAACTCTGATCTTGCGTCTAAACTTTGGGACTGGCTTGAACCTTTGTGGGTATAGATTTTAGGAATCTTAGTACACTCTCTATTGATATTGAACTTACCTGTGGCTTTGGATATACGGGGCAGTTTCATACCTCAGGCCTTGGCTTGTGATGGTCCTTTGCCTTGGAACATTGTCCCTCCTCTTCCTTCTTCCTATTGTAACAAACTCTTGCTCCTCTCTGAAGACCTAACCTGAGGTGTCCCTTCTCCTTTCC